AGCCCAAAGGCTCACAATGGCCCCTGGGGCCCCTGGCTACCATTCTCCTGCCTTCCCTTCCAACTCCTTGAGCCCTCATTCCATCTGCCCCTGTGCCTGCCCCTGGCCTTCCTTATGTGTGCAAGCCTTTGAAGCCAAGCCCCCTCTGCCAGGAACACCAGACCCCATGTCCCCATCTCTCCCTTCCCTGCTGCCCTCAAGAGACCTGCCTCATCTCCCTCTCTTCACCTTATATCCCCTATCTTGCTTCTCACCTTCTCTACAGCTCACCATCTCACTTCCCATTTACAGTCTACCTTTGATTGTCTTTCTTCCACACTAGAATTTAATCTCTGGGAACACAGGAATTTCACCCCAGCATCTGGAAAGAACGGGCTGTTTCATGGGAGCGCAGGGTTGTGTTGGGTGATCCTGTCTTGGTTTGGCAGCTGTCACACATCCCTGACTGCAAATGGAAGAAAGTGGGGGTCAAAAGGGCCAAGTAACTTGGCCAAGTTCTCCCAGCTGACCTGAGACAGCCCAGGTGGGGCTGGCTCTGGATGCCTTCGAAACCATCTGTACACCTTACCACTTCTCTGGCGGGTTTGCTTCAATATGACTACCTCCCATGGACACAAGACTCAATGCCACAACTCAAAGTTGTCCCTAAATATTTTTTGGCATCTGTATTTAATTTCTCAAGTATGCAGTAATGGCTATATTGTACAAATATACCCTTTGGTTTCACAAACTCACAGAAGCACCACACACCATCTTGCCCACACTGTGGTGGGCTTCTGGACAAGGCATCAGTGGTTACTCCTCAGATCTAGAGACCCATCTCTGAGTCTTCTTACATGTAAATGAATCAGGATAACCTGGTTGAGAAACTAACGGTTTCTTGTATTTTCCATGGCAGGTTATCACTAAAGAATGAAAGGCATTTCCCTTGATCTCTCAGGAGGTCGGCGCTTCTATGTACTGAAGTCCTGGTCCTTCTGATGCTCCCAAGACAGTCACGGGGTGGGAGTAGGTTGTACCCTCCAGGCTTTAAGGTTTGAGAGAATGGTACTGTGGGTTATGTGGGAGATGAAGACCAGCGCCCCACTCAACAGAGAGGCCTCTTCAATAGACGGGCTGACCCATGCCTTGGCAGGCACTGAGGGTAAAGCCTAGCCCCTGTGATGGACCAAGGGTTAAACTAACTGAGTGAAGGCCATTTTATTGCTGATTTTCTGGACAACACGAGCCCTGGGTTCCGGTAGGGCCCCAAGGGCAGGGAAAGCCCCCAGTCCCGAGATCCTGTGACAAAGATGGTATTTCCTTCCCAAGACGGCCAGAATTAAGCCTCAAACAAGTGAATTCTTTCAGGCACCTATATTAATCTCCAAGTATGTAGTATATGTGCACACATGTATATCAACAGCTTACTCACAACTATCCTGAGCACTAAATTACTAGAAGAGGGAATTTATACTTTATACCAGGCAATACTGAGTGGCTTTCTCAAATCATTGTTTTTATTACAGCTCTGTCTTCCCCATAGATAGTAATGGTGGTGCCTGATAGTTAATAACAGGGCACAGCCTGGGTGAGAGGGAACAAGGCTGCCTCCCAGTGGGCCATGCTCATCACCTAGATGGGGGTGGGGGACTGTGTAGGGCTTGCCTGACACCAACGAGGGTCCCCACCAGAACGTGGGCACAGAAAGGGCTTGAGGGATGTTCTAGTCTACACTCCTGCTTGAGAGCTGAGGAAAGAAGTCCAGAGAATTTATATGGATGGCCAGCTGAGTCAGTTCTTTTATTTTTTAACTTTTTTTTTTAACGTTTACTCATTTTTGAGAGACAGAGACAAAGCGTGAGTGGGGGAGGGGTAGAGAGCAAGGGAGACAAAATCTTAAGCAGACTCCAGGCTCTGAGTTGTCAGCTTAGAGCCCAGTGCAGAGCTTGAACCCACTAACTGTGAGATCATGGCCTGAGCTGAAGTCAGACAATTAACTGACTGAACCACTCAGGTGCCGCCCTTTGTAAAAAAATTTTAAATGTTTATTTTTGAGAGAGAGAAAGAGCACAGGAGAGGCACACACAGAATCCAAAACAGGCTCCAGGCTCTGAGCTGTCAGCACAGAGCCTGATACAGGGCTCAAACTTATGAACTGTGAGATCATGACCTGAACTGAAGTCTGACACTTAACTTACTGAGCCACCCAGGTGCCCCAGGCTGGGGTCGGTTCTATGCTGAGGAAATATACACATTTATTCTTTATGTCTACATTGTTTTCCAGGTCCTCATCTCCCTGTCCCAGGCAGAGCCCTGGCATTCAGTCTCTCACTGCCCCAGGAGCACACTCCTGAAATGTGGGGCAGCTTTCCGGCCTCCCCAAGGCATCCTGCAGCATGGACGAGGTGCCTCCCAAGTGTTGGGTGGAGATCTCTGTTGCCCACTCTCACTATCCTCTTGATGGCAAAAACAACGTTGGTGAATTTTGCATCTTCACTCAGTAAGTTTGGGCTCTTAAAAGGTGCTTTCTAAGGCTGCATGGTTGGAGTAAAACAGTATCCTTTAAAAATACTAATCCAGGAGGTAAGATGTAGGTGATAAAAATTAACATGCAACATATGGAAAAAAAATAACAGAAAGACATTCCAAAGGAGTAAAAAATTTTGCTAAGCATGGCAAGGTCAAAGGAAGGCTCTATTATGGTGCCATAGCAGGGCTCTGTGCTCTTTACCAGGACTCTATCTTCAAATGAAGCAGCTGCCATTAGTGATGCTACCAGCCATTGTCAGGACCTCACATCAGCATTCAAGAAAAATTAGCTCATGAAACGCTTTTCTTTCTTAACCTACACCAACTTCCCCTTCTCTATAAATAGTGAATCCTTTGTTCAAAATATCTTTTCTGAATTATTCACACAGAAACAGCTTTAAAATAGCCAGCCTCCATAGTGAGTGCTTTAGGATTATTGCTAACCCAGGTGAATTGTTGTAACCCAGGTGAATCAGTCAATGACCCTGAGGTTAAGAAAGAGCAGGGCTGTGGGTGTTAGTCTGTGGGTTGCTTTTGATAGCTTTGCAGCAGCTGAGCAAACAAGTCATTGGCAGTTACAACTTCAGATCTGACACTGTTACTGGGAGTGCAGACCCTGTTCTAAAACCAAGCATGACATGGGTGAGGTATCCCTGAGTCCTGGGGCTGAGGTGACCACCAAGCTGCCCAACACAAAGAAGTCCCCACTAACCACCATCCCTTCCTATGTCTATGTCCTTCTTGGAGCAAGTTGACGAGGCTACTTCCTGGATTGCTCTACAAGAAATGGGATCAAGCCAGCTCTACACTGAAGCTCGGATCTGGTAGGGAACACCCAAGTGTCAACTTTCTGGATGTTTCCAATTTGGCCTGGAGCTCTGTGCTCCCCCTACTCTACACCCCCAGGGTGACCTGCTTGGAGCCCAGTAATGGGCTCTATGCTCTCTGCCCTTCTGCCCACGAGAAGCACTGGTCAATGCCTGGATGGTGGGGGAAGAAGGTGGTCGGGGTATTTATTTTTCCAGCATCTTCTCTCCTTGAAGCCACGCCTTCTTGTAAGGCTTTTTCCATCAGCTTCTTTCATCGTTTGTCTCTTTGCCAGGCCAAAGAGTGGCAGTGCCCCTGTGGTGCCATTTCCAAGCATGACGCTTTCCTTTGCTGGTGTTCTTAATGCCTGATCATTCTTTCATCAACATTGCCTACTGATGCTACCAGGATGGGTAGGGAATGCTGATGACTGGTTCATCTGCCAATGTCAAGACGATACCAACTACAGATCCTTCTCTTCAGTCTTCTGAAACACTCCAAAGGCCTGCATATTTTCAGTTGTGTCTTGGTGACAAGCTAAGTCTAATTCTCTGACAGAGCAGCACTTGCTGTCTGTGGGCCTGAATATACCCTCTCTCCACCATGCTCAGCCAATGGCTCCCTGTCTTGCTCCCCTGAGATGTGCCACGCAGGAGCACCTCCATGTGCCAGGCCTTTGGAAGTGGAGGCTATACTCTGCAGCAGCTGGGAATAGCTGGATAACAATGGAGTCAGAATGCCTTGCCCCCTGCCCCCCAATCCAACCACGTGAGGACACACTCCAAGTACACCGTCAACCCACGCTGGTGGTGGGGGCAGGGTGGTGCCCATGGGAAATGAATGCGGGGCCCAAGAAGGGCAAGACACAGCCTTCTGCCTGCATATCTGAGAAGCCCTGAACATATGATTTTGCAAAGATTTATAATGAAAATGGTGATGAGTAAGAGAGGATATTTGCTCTGTCTCAGGAAGAACTTACATCTGCTTTAGACACTTGTTTTGAACGAATTGTGTTATCTTTAGGAACCCCAAAGAAGACAAGTTTGGCTTGCTCCCCAAATCTCTTCTTCATTGGGCTGTCAGAAGAAATGCTAAGAAAAAGGGGAAGACTGAAGTCATGTTTTGTGTTTTCTCAACCCTGGAGGCCAGCAAGGCTGGGAGGGCAGGAGACGACAGCCACACTCAGCTCATGCCATAAATACTTAACTCCACCACGCTGCCCCCTGTCTTCTTGTCTTTGCAGATAGGAAAACTGAGGCTCAGGGAGGTTACATAACTGGCTCATGTATATAGGAAGTGATAGGGTCTCCTATTTTTCCCAAAGCCATGGTCTTTCTTACGTTTCATTTGACACCCATGGGAGGGTCAGAGGGAAAAAGGAGAAAAGTAAGGCAAAGCCAGAGATTGTCTTTAGAGGGGGCTGACCTAGTCAGGTTAAATCTGGGAACAAAGGGAAAATTCAAGGGATCTCAGCACCGAACAGCCACTGGCCCCTACCAGCTGGGGCTGCATTGGAGCAGAGCATATCTGCAGAGCAGGAGATTTTCTGAAAGCTTCCAGAGTCTGAATTTGAAACACCTGACTCAGACAACACGTGTCCCTTGCTCACTGATCTTAGTTACACTAGCTTCATTTGCTCCCTGAGCCCAAGGAACACGGGCCTGTGGGAGCCAGCAGCTCACCTGCCTGCTCCAAAGCCACCATGGTCGCCTGCTCGATCAAGTCCCGTTCAATGAAACTCCTGAAGTCTTCGCTGTACACACTCAGATCCGGCAACTGGAATGTATAGATGGGCATCTCCAGGGGGAACTGCTCATTGTTGCACTCACTTGCCACGTGGGACCGGGCCAGGGAGACGATAGCTGAGCTGGCGTGGGAAATTCCCCGAGAAAGTCGCTTCTCTGCAGGAGGAGTGGGAAAGACAACCACAGGAAATGAGTAGGGTGGGTGCCTGGCTCTGTGAGCATGCATGCACACGCATGTGCATGCACAACTCTGCTCACACACGTAACACACACACACAGGCACACACACACATTCACCCACACACCTGTCACTCTTTTCCTGCAGGCCTCCCTGCTGCTGGAGTTAACATTACCACCAGCTGGCATATGGCACTTACTCACTCTGAGTCATGAAACCATTCAGAAAGAGGCGAGCTGCGTGTCTACCACACAAGTATGCATCAGCATCATTAAAGATCACCAGCCTTCCTTTTGGGTCTTAAGTTACATCTAACTCTGGTCAGCAGGGCCATCCTCTGCTAGTTCTGAGGAACGTGAGCCAGACTACTCTTTGTTTTCATCCATTTACATACTTCAAGCAAGAGCAATTGGTTCAGGCTTCCCCACCACAGAGAAGTTACTAAAGTTACTCCGACAAACGCATCTCGCATAACGATGCCCCACATACAGATATGAAGCCATTACATCCAGTTCACTTCTGTCTTGGTTTTCCTTCATCGCAGCACTCAAAAAGTACTGGGCTCTCCAACCAAAGGGTGAAAAGCGCAGTGTAAATTCCTCTGATGTACATGATATTACTCTATTAGGAAGTTAATTATGTGATCTCAATGCCACAGCAAAAAAGTGGATGTCTTTGTTCTCCTCTTGTTTTTTTAATTAAAAATATTTTTTTAATGTTTATCTTTAAGAGAGAGAGAGAGAGACAAAGAGAGACATGAGTGGGTGAGGTGCAGAAAGAGAGGGAGACACAGAATTTGAAGCAGGGTCCAGGTTCTGAGGAGTCAGCACAGAGCCCAACATGGGGCTTGAACTCACAGGCCATTAGATCATGCATGACCTGAGCTGAAGTCGGACACTTAACCGACTGAGCCACACAGATGCCCCTCTTGTTTTTGTTTTTTAATGTTTATTTATTTATTTAGAGAGAGAAAGACAGCAAGAACATGTGGGGGAGGGACAGGGAGAAAGGGAGAGAGAGAATTCCAAGAAGGCTCCATGCTCAGCACTGAACCCCAACGCAGGGTTTGATCTTGTGACCATGAGATCATGAACTGAGCCAAAATCAAGAGCCAGATGCTTAACCGACTGAGCCACCCAGGCGCCCCACCCTTGATTTTTTAAGCCCTGTCCTTAATAGCTAGCATTTACCATAATACAAGTATTCTTAAATACAAGGTGTTAAGGGAGAAGTTTTGTTTAGAATCCGTATCTATAATAACAGAATTCTTTTAACAAGACAGAAATCCTCTTTCAATTATCTCAGAAAAACAAAATTCAAACGTGTTTAGATGAGTATTGTCTAAACCTGTGGCAAATTCATAAAAGTATAACCACTCGGGTCATGAGGACTCCCATTTCATTTCATATTAGCCTGCTCACCCATCAGGCTCTGTGCTCATGCTGATGCCACTTTGAAGCATGTCCCTGCCTGCCTGTGCTCACAGAAAACACACACTGGTGCCTTCATCCAGAATGGGAGTTCTGACTTCCCCGTGGGCAAGAGCAGTAGACAGAAATGTCATTAAAGTAATTTTGCTTCAGCAAACTGAAGAAAACAAGAGCCTTTTGATCCTGGGGTAGGTTGGTTTTAAATTTAAAGTCAGTTCTCAAAAGTCTCAAGTATCTTTATTAAAATGCATAGCGGGTCCCACAGAGTATTTTAAAATGGGTAGTTTTGATACACCTTCAGTTGGATTCTGAGACCACGATGACTAGTTATTTTGAGGAAAGGCAAAGAGAAGTTAAACCACATAGCCATGGGAAAGAAGAGAAATGGAGCACACAGGGCCTGGCTTATCTACCTTGGTGGATGGCCCACGTGCTTCCTGCACTGTCCACATCCTTGAGAGCAGGAGCAGAGGAGACTCCGAATCATTCTGTCATGTTCTCTAGGTCTTGCAAGCCATGTTGATGTCTCGCCTTTTGCTACAAACTACAAAGCCTGTATCTGTGAAAGTAGGAACTGCCCCATCCACTGGGATCTGATGGAGATGGAAATCAGCTGTTCTTTAATACCTGCAGTGCTATGTGACCCCACAATCCACTGGGCAGACTCACAATGCTGCTCTCAACAGTGGGAATCTGCCACACGGGGTCATCTACACTCCTTCATGGCTCATCACTCAGTACCCATTTGCCAATTGATGACATGCTATTAGGACCCTGGAAATATTGTGATTCATAGTATAGTATGATTATATTTAGCAGTTCCAAATATTAAATATTTGGAATCTGAAAGAAAAAGCCCGAAAGAAAAAGTCTGAAAGAAAAGCCCCCAAAGGGGGCACTTGGGTGACTCAGTTGGCTGGGCATCTGACTTCGGCTCAGGTCATGATCTCATGGCTTGTGGGTTTGAGCCTCATGTCAGTCTCTGTGCTGACATCTCAGAACCTGGAGCCTACTTCGGACTCTGTGTCTCCTTCTCTCTCTGCCTCTCCCCCATTTGTACTCTGTTTCTGTCTCTCTCTCAAAAATAAACAAATATTTAAAAAATCAAAAAGAAAAGAAAAAGATTTTTTGAACTAAAAGTAAATTATGTTAAAGCCCATATGAGAAACATATGCGCCTAATGCTAACATTTCCCCACCACCATCTCCATGAATGCACATACACAATCATACACAGACACATACATGCACACACACTTTGATTTTAAACATGAACTCAGTGATCCTTCTTTTAGGGGTATAAATGAATTGTGTGACACGGATTACCATGTTCAAAGTTATGCCCCAGAGAAATAAAGAGGTTAAAAAAAGAACATAGAGAATGCACAAAATTTTACAACTGTTGACAAAGCCAATTATTTAAATTGTCTGTGATTTATGCCAGGAGGGGTGTTTTAACTACATTTTCTTATTTTCTGTATTCCTGATGCTCTGGCATGTAGGGTTCCCTGACCGGGGAGAAGCTCTCCCTACCAGGACTAAGCAGTTCTGAGAACAAATAACTCAGAGGGAAGGAGCATGCCTTTCCTATGCAAACAGACCTATCCAAAGCCCATAATCTGAACTACCTCTTCTATCTGATTCTTAAACTCCAGCAAGCAATACTCCTCTGCACCCTGGGGCAAGGTACGAGACATTTAGGGATAGCTTCTAAGCCCCAGAGAGCCTGCTCAAATTATTCAATCTTGCCAATCTTGTATCTGTTTACCTTGCTTTGCCTTTTCCAAGGAAATCACAATAAGGGCTCATGTCCATGTTTTTCCTTTCTGTTCCTTCTGCGTCCTGACCAATCTTGGTGCTTCCCCATGTGACCCTGTACATTGTTCCACGACTCTTACTTTTAGGGAACTGTTAGTATAAAAACTTCCTTCCTCAAATTATTTTCCATGTTTACATATCTCATCATATCTGGTTAAAACAAATCCTAAAACAGATTTTTAAAACAGGTGCACAAACCTTTTTCAAAAGGGACAGATATAAGTACTTTAGGCTTTGTAAGTCATGTGGTCTTCTTTTAATATTTATTTTTGGGAGAGCACAAGTCGGGGAGGGGTAGAGAGAGGAGGACAGAAGATCTGGAAGGTGGCTCTGCACTGACAGTCTGACTCCAGTGAGCCTGATGTGGGGTTCGGACTCACGAACTATGAGATAATGACCTGAGCTGAAGTCAGACACTCAACCCACTAAGTCAACCAGGTGCCCCATAAATCATGCAGTCTTGGTCACAGCTGAACTCTCTAGCACTAAAGTAGCCATTGCCAATGCAGAAATGAATTGGCTTATGGGCCATTGTTTGCCAACCCCTAATTTATAATATGGAGACCTTCGTTTTCCATATTAGTGCATTATGATTTCAAGAACTAAGTTAAAGGATACATATATCTAATTCAGAAACTATAATTTTTAATTTTAATTTTTTATTTACTTAAAATTATTTTTAATGTTTATTTATTTTTTTTGAGAGAGAGAGACAGAATGCAAGCAGACAAAAGGGAGAGGGAGACACAGAATCCAAAGCAGGCTCCAGGCTCTGAGCTGTCAGCACAGAGCCCAATGCAGGGCTCGAACTCACAGACCATGAGATCATGACCTGAGCCAATGTTGGATGCCTAACTGACTGAGCCACCCAGGCGCCCTCTAATTTTACAAAAGTAGATAGTATTGTTCACAAAACTCAATAGAATTATGCGACAAACATGTTTGTTTTTTACTCCTTAAGTAATATGTGATAAAAGTTACATAGCAGCAGGTATTTATTAGGCTCTGAATCCACCAACCTCTCTGGAAGCAGAGAGGAGAGTCCTTCTAGTACCCTCAGCAGGAGGAAAAATAATGGGATGGTTGGTTTGCTGCCAGTCAAAAAGGGCAGGAGCAGCCATGTTGTCATCTGTCTGGACTGTCACTGCATGAGAGAGCCCAGCAGCCTCAACTGTGTGGTGCTGAAAAAACACACAGTCATGGAAGACCCTGATAGGGAAGGCCACAGGGAATGATTAGAAGTGGTGGTCTCTTCAGAGTCATACCTAATGGCAGCAATGGAGGAGAACTTACCAACAATATAACCAGATAGACAAGAAGTGACAGAGCCTCGGTATCCTTTCCCTAACCTGCCTTGGAGGTCCACAGGAGCAGAAGAGGGGGGTGGGCTAGGTTCCATGGATAGAGGCTCCAGGTGGGGGTAGGATTCTGGCCATGCCTTTCCTCACCCTAGCACAGTTCTGGGCAGGTTACTACTCACATCATTACCTCCAACGTGTGAGCAAGCAACAGTGTTAGCCAATTGCAGCTGGAGGAACATCAGGGCAATACTGAACCACAGCTGGGGGGAGGGGGGGCACACTAATAATAACAGGTGGGCTGGCCAGGCCCTAAGCCTTCCCTCCTCTCTCCAACACACACTGTGAGCTTGACAGTTACAACACATGGAAATGAGCAATTACTAGGACAGAGGTGCTGGAGGTTCCCTAAGGAGTGGAGCTAACTTCAGTAAAGAGAGCAAGCAGGGAACATTTTCAGCCCATATTAAAGCATTCAAAGCTCTCCAACTTAAGTGCACTTCCCCCACACTCTCATTCAGAGGAGCACCAGCAAGAGCCCATGCCTTTGTCCCTTTCCCTGATATACAGTATGAGCAGAGATGGCCGATAACCACAGGTCCTCTGCAGGCCCATGGAAAATTTAGAACACACCTGAGGAGTGTTATAGTGTCACAAAAAATCCACAACTACCTGTGCCAGAGGAAGCAAAGTAAATAGACTGGAGGACAAGATTTTAAAATGAGCCTAGTAAATGTGTTCAAAGAGATAAAAAGAACATTAGGATGCACAGTAATAATGACAAAGGGCTAATTTGGAATAAAAAGTATGAATGTTGATTATTAGAATGGATTCAAATAAAGAATGAATTAGGAAGTTGGAAGACTGGGTCAAGGAAATCTCTTAGAAAATGTGAAAATGCGATTTAAGAAAACAATGGAGGGATGATTTTAAAGCACTCAAGGAATATTAATTTGGACCTAGAATTCTAGTTTCACTAAACAAAAATTTAAGAATATCATGTAAACATGTTAAGGCACCCAAAGCTTAAGGAGACTGATTATATAAAAACTCTTTATGAAAGTAGTTTTTGATAAAGTACTCTTTCTGCAAAAGGTAAATGTGAGTAAATAAAGTTAATGGTTGTCTAAATAGACAACAAAATGAACCTAAATGTGATTGAGGACAAGTGGAGGTAGGAAGGGAGAAGACAAAACATATACGTACTAAGGCATATACCCTGTTTTCTTCAGGGTAAAATTTAGTTGTTAATACATTTTTTTTTAAATGATAGGAAGAAAACATAAATATAGGTTTGCATAGGTTAGTTACTGGTAACTATAACCTAAGTAGTGGTAGAAAGTATAACTTTCAAATCATTAGAAAGATTTAATTAGCCAGAGGAGATAGAAAAGGAGAAAAATACACCAGAAAAGCCTGGCAAATAACACATACAGCATAAATAACTACAGGTATGATAATAATTACAAATAAAGTAAATGGATTAAATTCCCTTCTCAAATGACAGAGACTCTTGGATCAGGTAATAAAATAATATCTGATGATAAATTATTTATAAGAATCACATTTAATATAAAATGACAAGGAATGATTCAAAATAACAGCAGACAAATTATATTCCAGGCAAATTTGAACTGACAGAAGGGCAGAATACAGATTTCATATCAAGCAAAACAGATATTAAGATAAAAAACAGTCTAGGGCACAGAAAGACACTCTAAATATCAGTAACAAAAGAACATTGGAACAAGATGTCCTAACAATTATGAGAACACCTAACAAGATGGCCTCTAAATATAGTGGAAATAATGAACCTAAGAGAAGAAATGGATAATGTGCATTAGCATTTCTAACTCAATTCTGGCTTTTCTAGACAACAGAGTAAGCATAAAAGAAAAATCCAAGACATAGGTTCCAATGTAGCTTGAATAATAAGGCTGGGCTAACAGAAACAAAGACAACATTCATTCACAACAGTTTGGGAAGGCTGACCTCCTGCAATAGGATAAGAAATGAAATTCATTTAATGTAATTACATTTCATATGAATATTAAGAAGAATTTAAATTATTTTAGATGTTCTGATTGTATGTACTTAGAAAACTCAAGATATTCTCTTAGAAAAAAATGATTAGCTTTAATAAGAGAATTTATGTAAATTACTGCATAAGACATAAATATGTAAAAATAAGTTGCTTTTCTCTGTGCCTAAAATCTTAGAATCTGACTAAAAAGAGAGGCATATTTAATGTTCTTGGATGGGAAAATGATATTACAATATGCCAATTATTCTTAAAATAAAAATTCAATCCAACCCAACCAGAATTCCAAGTTTAAGGTTTATATGGCAGAATAAATACCAAAAATAGTGGAAAATTTTTGGAAAAGAATAGCAGTAAAAAAGTTGCCCTAACAGAAAGTATACTATATAAAACTACCAGAGTCAAGGTAACAGGATGAATGACCACGTGAATTGACAGACAGAGTCCAGAAACAGATCCAAGTATATTTGGGAATTCAATATATGGCAAAGTTGTTGGCATTTTAGTTCCGTGGGAAAAGAATGCTTTACTCAATAAATGTGCCAGGGTAACTAAATCTTGATCCAGAAGAAAGCAAGACTAGATTCTCCCTATTACTTATACAAGAATTTCAAATCAATCAAAAGACCTAAGAACAAAATTTTATGATTTACTTATTTATTTTTGAAAGGGAGAGAGTGCAAGTGAGTGGGGGTGGAGAGAGAGAGGGGGGAGAGGGAGAGAGAAGCGGGGCTCACCCCAAGTGGGGCTCTAGCTCACAAACTGAGATCATAACCTGTGCCAAAGTCAAACGTTTAACTGACTGAGTCACCCAGGCACCCACTAAGAAAATTTTAAACAAATATAGGAACATATTTCAGTAACTTTGTATTCCAGGAGAACTTCTACAGCAAGAGAGGATACCCATCAGCCATGAATCCATAATAATATAAACATTGTGTGTGGCAAAGTACTATGTAAACAAAGTCATAAAGTAAGTGATACACTGGGAAAGATATACACATATATAAAAATATATGTTTGTAGTCCTAATCACAAACAATGCAACAAATTGATAAGAAAACTGAAAATGAATCAATAGAAAAATGGGCAAAGAATGTGAACAGGTATGTTGCAGAAGGGAAAGTCCAACTGGCTAACAAACAAATGACAAGATAAAAATTAAAATAGGAGACACTTTTTTTCTCCCTTCACGGTAGAAAAGTAATGTAAAACTATCACAGAAACATCCAGGACTGGCAAGAGTGAAGGGAGATACCTAGTTTTGCACATGGCAAGCAGAAATGGGTCTGGGAAAAGAGTCTTGAGGTTATTGAATTAAAGATACAGCGGGGCGCCTGGGTGGCTTGGTCGGTTAAGCGTCCGACTTTCGCTTGGGTCATGACCTCGCGGTTCGTGGGCTCGAGCCCCGCGTCGGGCTCTGTGCTGACTGCCAGCTCCGAGCCTGGAGCCTGTTTCAGTCTGTGATTCCCTCTCTCTGACCCTCCCCTGCTCGTACTGTCTCTCTCTCTCTCTCCTAGAAATAAATAAAAACATTTAAAAAAAAAAAAAAGATACAGCAGGTGTTGGCAGAGCAAATCCATTTTGGGGACATTGACCTATAGAAATAAAAGCACTAGTATGTAAGATCACGGGCAGAAAGTTGTTTATTTTTAGCCTTGCTAAGAGTATCGGAAACAAACAAAACACCAAAGAAAAACCAGGATAGCCATTAATACAGTAGTGGTTTAGAAATGATTGCATGCTATAGAACAAAATATTGAGACTATACTCGATTTATGGTTAAGTGAAACAAGTGATTTGAGAAGTATTCTATGCATTTGACTCTGATGCATTCTGAATGAGCATAGGAAAAGGAAGGAGGAGACAGACCAAGATGCCATCATCGGTTATTATGTCAGTGAGATTTGAGGGGAGTGGAGAAGAAAACTCTGAAATTTTCTTTATATATCTTTGTACTATTTCTTTCATTATAGTAAACACATCTGACTTCTTAATAAAAAGAACAGAGAGGGGCACGCTGGGAGGTTCAGTTGGTTAAGTGTCTTATTTGGCTCAGGTCATGATTTAACAGTTTGTGAGTTTGAGCCCTATGTTGGGCTCTGCACTCACAGCACAGAGCCTGCTTGGGATTCTCTCGCTGCCCCTCCCCCATGGGTGTGTGTGTGTGTGTGTGTGTTCATTCTCTCTCTCAAAATAAATAATAAATAAACTTTAAAAATACATAAAAAAAGAAAAAGAACAGAGAAAAGGGAGCCCTTGGGACAGTGAACACTGATAATGTACAGATCTGGAAATTATGCTACTTAGGGAATAACTGAAGGGACTAAAGGTGCTTGGCTTAGAAAGGCTCCAGATTCAGTAGAAGTGTGGGCCCTCAATCATGTGGGCTCCTAGGGGACTGGACTCCCTCTCCTGCTTTTCTGAGGCAGAGGGAGGAGCCAGGAACAGAAGCTGCAATGCATATTTCAGCTTGATGCACCAACAGCCTGATTTGCAGCTGAGAGATGATGACCTTGCCATTCTTTGAAAGCCCCACCCCCCACTCCCCTCTGCAAGCCATGGCACCCTGGGGAAGCTGCTTCTGGGCTCAGTCCCTTGCCAGGTACCTTGGGCAATGTCGTCCTGCCTCTGCAGGCAGGGTCTTTCCACCTTGTGCCCGGGCTGTGGCGGCTCTCGCTCTGGCTGCTTGGGACACCTGCCCTCGTTGAACACATGTGGCAGGTTGGCTGTGTGCACCTGTCGGAGCTGCTCATAGTCACTCAGAGCGGCTGTCAGGTCCCAGTTTTTGCCTGTGGACAAGAAATGACAAGAAATTACAATATGAAGGATCTCACGGTAGAAAAAACTGTGCGAGAAGCATTCTTAATTAGCACTTTGACTAATGAACTTTCCACCAGCGTTCTTGTTTCTCAAAAGGGTACAATAGCTTGATGCATAATCTCTAAAAGTAGAATTTAGCACTCATGGCTGATATCCATCTGAAATATGTGACTATATCTATTCTCATAGCTTTTAGATTCACACACACACACACACACGCACACACACTTCAGAACATTACATTCCTAATTATCATGTCCCCCTCTACCCTTTTGACAATAAAGTTGTAGAGCTTAACCTCTGAGGGAAGCAAAACATAAACTATAAAAAAATTTAATGAAAAGAATTCCCAAATTTTCTTTGGGCTTTTGCTTAGAGTTTTGCTTTTCTTTTTAAGCTTAATATGGGTAAAGCAGAAACTTGGGAGAATTTCTCTGTGTTAACACCTTAGCGGGAGGCAGATGTCTGAGTTCTGACCCTGAACTGGGTAAGATGCCAGTCCCAAAGGGGGTGACGGCCTGGGACAGCTGTAAGCAGAGCCCCTGGGCACTGAGATGGGTGTAGTGCTGAAGGGGACTTTTCACAACACTAGGGGGAGCTGTTCTGGGAGCTGCAACACTGCAGGTCTTTAATTTCTGACTCTGAGTCAATGGGTTTCTAATGGAGGCATGGAGTCTTCTGGCGTCATGAACTTTTTAAAGACAAAGAACTAAAAGCCTAGCTTTCACATCAAAGAGCAAATAAAATCTTATCCTCTTCTGGATAACTTCAAATTGCAGGTATTAACCATATTGACCCAATTACACGCTGAATTATGTTATATGTACAACATAATGAGACTTTAAATGTACGAAATAATATCAGGACATCATTTTCTCCTCTTCTAATTCTAGTGCAGACTTGACGCCACCAATCATAATCTTTAAATTGTATCATATGGCCACTTGTAATCACATTTTTTTTTCTTCAGAGTCAGCTAACAGAGATGCAATAGCTGCATGTTTGTACCATCTCAGTGGATAAGAAAAGCAAACTAAACCTATCTGGGTCACCCAACAGAAAAGAACAGCAGGAGCCGGTGGTTTTGTAAGTGATAATAAATAGCTGGGGCATTGGTGTAATGCAGGCTGGTTATCATTAAGTAGTAGAAGTGGAAAGTGGTGGTCGTGGCCATGGGGCTGAGGTGGTAGCCAAGACAGGGCTGGTTTTGGGAAACTAAACTGAAGCAGAAATGTCAGAACACACTTTCACACTCACATAGGACCAACCATCACAGTGTACAAATATTACCCACATGATACAAACCTGGCATTTTCAAGCATAAGCGGTAGTGATGATCCAATGGGCATTAATGTTCCAAGAAAACAAAGATAAGACCCTTACCTTTAGGGAAATCATGCCTTAGCAGGGTTGATGACCTAAGAGGCACCCTGCTCCAAGGCATGGCTGAGGGGGGCACATGCCCAAGGGAGGGTCAAGCCTGGGTGGAGGAAGAAGGTCAAGGGGAGAGGAGGTAGAGCAGGCCTGTCTTGATTAAAACCCATGCTTTTGGGGCTATAGTTCCCTTGAAGCTGTCTTGTTTAGGGCGTCACAGCTCCTGGTTATGGACTAACTTTCACCCCCTCACCCTGCCTTGCCCATCCATCATGACCCTTCAGAACAGGACTTGTCCTCTTCTCCTGTATCCCTCACTCTCTGTCTTCAATCTGCCAGTGTTTTCAGCTGCTGAGTCCTTACTCTTCCCCATGCACTTACCTGTACCACATGAAATTCTTACTCAGGTGTCACTAGGGCCATCTAAACACAGCAGGCCAGCAGGCCCATGAAGGAGCAGCAGAAAGCCTCACTAGAACAGGGACATTTAATAGTCCCTTTTATCCTATGCCTCTGAATACTTTATGCCCCCTTTTCTGGCTGCTTTGTCTTTTTTTACCCTTAAAACACACAGGTTCCCCCCATTTTTTCTTTCTTCTCTTAATTTATATCCTCTTTTAAAAGTCAAGACCATCCCTATGTGAATAATCTTAAATCTAGTTATAATTTAAGGCCAAATATCTAACTATGGCAGAAGCTAGGTGACTATTCAATTTCTATTTTCCTCTAATTCTTTATGCATAGAATGCTGATTTGGGATTGCAATCCACACAGCTAGAAATACTCATTTTTCTCCTTTAGCCAACATGAGATCTTCAAAATATGTTCCTGTTGTCATATCTCTCTGTATTTGCTTATGCTGTTCCTTTTTTCCCAGAAATATTTCCTCCAAGCAACAGAATAGTATAAAGTGTATGAAAGAAGACCTCAATCCAAAGACTATAAGGAATAAGGAAGTTGCCTGATAAATAATTTTTTTCTTTTAGGCTATGCCTTACTTTGTGCATACCACAATGCATTAGGGTACTGGATTAATAATAAGCACAGTTTTTGTGGTAAGTACCAAAATCTCTAGTACAGTTTACTGATGAAATGTTTGTGATTTTAAACTTGTAACACATTTAGTTTGTTCTTAAGAGTAATATCAAATGAGGTCAGATCTCAAGTTAAACTTAACATATGCATTTTGGCTCTTAGAGTGTGCTGCTTTAATTTAGTAGGAAAGTACCACATTAATAATGGGAAACTGCAAGTTAGAGATGCATGGGCTTATAGGAAGATATGAAACAAGAACTGACTGAGCTCAGGGTAAAAAGCAAACATGAGTCAAAATCATTTCTGAAATGAAGTTAAATTCTAAGGGAGCAAAGAAAAAAACAGACCACAGATAGCATAGTAAGGACCATAAAAATGGAAAATAAGCAAAGTGGAAAAAGTAAGGAAACAAAAGCTTACAGATAAATGGCAGATATAGAATGCAGGTGAAAGACATATAACATACATATAACTGGAGACTAAAATAAGAAATCTAAAATAATGGAAAAGAAAAGAGAATTTTAAAAGTGTATTAAAAAAGCAAACTTCTCATACAAACATTTGATTCTACATATTGAAAGGGCACACTGCAAAAAAGGAAGTTGTCCTAGTATGGTCAATACCAAGACATAGCCTTATAAAATTTTTGTGTTTTAAAGATAAAGAGAATTCCTTGAATATTTAAGAAAAAAGTAAAGAAAATCAGGCTTGTAACATACTTCTTTGCAGCCACATTCAATGACTGAAGTCAATGGAGTCATATCTATGAGATACTTAAAGAAAGAAAGTGTGACCTAAGACATTTTTATACCCATCGAGGCTATCCCTTCATGTAAAGGCTCCTGGCAAAGGGATGTCAGGCAGCAGTAAATTTATTTAACTGTACATCTAAGAAAAAGCAAAGGAATAGATACAAGTCCAAGAGGAGAAAGTCAATATTCTGCCAAAGCAAAAATGATACAATCAGCAAAATCGTAGAAGGCAGAAAGTAGAATCAACATACAGTTGCCTCAGTTATGATACAGGGGAGTTGAAAGATCAAATACAAATATGTAAACATATTTAGCAACACAGAGATGCATGACAAACACCAGATAAAAGATATACTACTAATTAAATTGGATGGGAGGAGACAGAAAAAGCGAGAAGGTAAGAAGATACAAGTTAATTTTATTGAGGCAGACCATAAGAACTAATACTGTCTAAAGTAAAAAAAAGAAACAGAATATTATATAAGGGTATAATTTCAAAAAGTAAACCATAGATTAAAAAGGCAACTTATCAGGGCACCTTGCACCTGGGTGGCTCTGCTGGTTAAGTGTCCGACTCTTGGTTTCAGCTCAGGTCATGATCTTAGGACTCATGGGTTCGAGCCCTGTGCTTGGGATTGTCTCCCCTCTTTCTGCCTCTCCCCAACTCACAATCTCTGTCTCTTGGTCTCAAAAATAAACATTAAAAAAACCTGAAACTTACCTAAATATCAGCAAAATATTTTTTAAGTAAAAAGCTAATAAAGTATACTGAAAGACATTTGAAATATTTATATATGAAAATAGAAAATATGACATGACAGAGCTAAGAATCACCATATCTGTCAAAGCAATACATTTAAACAGGGTTAATACAACTAAAGAAGAGGATTTTCATGTTATCTCACAAAGCAAAGTCTAGCTATTTGCTGTATATAAAAGAACTATCTAGAGCAAAGTGATTCAGAAAAGTTGTAACTAACAGGGAAGAGCAGTGGTTTATCAGGTTTACTAGGCAAAGATAAAACAAAAATTAAAAGCCTAAGCGCATATTGTATACACTGTATGTTAGCTAACTTGACAATAAATTACATGTATGAGAAAAATCAAACAAACAAAAAACCAAAAAGCAACATAGGGGACATGATCTTACATCAAATAAAGTAAAATTCAGACCACAAAGCATTATTTAAGATGAAGAAGGACACTCTAGAACACTAACGTGTTCAATTCACAATGGAGATGTGTGTATATATATGTATATTTTAAATTTTTAAATGTGTATTTTATTTTATGTTTGAAAGAGAGGGAGACAGAGAGAAAGAGAGAGGGAAACGTATCTGACACAGTCTCCAGACTCTGAGCTATCAGCACAGAGCCCCATGCGAGGCTTGAGCTGACAAATCATGAGATCATGACCTGAGCTGAAGTCGGTCACTTACCAGACTGAGCCACCCCGGTGCCCGACAATTCACAATGGAGATGTATATTAATTATGCTTTCTTTTCTATCATTTTGACATCTTGCTTAGCCAGGAGGCACTGCCCTTCTCAGGCCTATGTGATTCCTTGTGATAGCAGACTACCTCTCTGGAAATGTGCCTTTCATGTGCAAACCAACCAATCCAAACCCTGACTCCCACTCAGAACAAATGCTCCCCTGTGCTATTCACTCAGGGCCAGGTACCGGACAATTTGGGACAACCTCTCCACCCTGGAGCCTGCTAAAATTCAAACTAGCCAATCCTAACACTGCCTATCCTGCCTACCCTGCCTTAGCTGTTACTTCCTGTGGAAACCACAATAAAGGCT